TCCAGACTGGGGGCTTATCACAGGTGAGTCAACAATAAATAGAATGCATTTGAAATAGAAAGTGGCATTTTTCTTGCTAACAGGAATGGTTAAAATACTGTGCTTTGTGTTTCTCCATAGGGATCTTGTCTCTGTTGGTGTTGTTGATAATAGTGTTGACAGCCTCTGCTCTTGTCTTGAGGCCTAATCGGTCCAGCCTCATCGCTCAAGGGAGGCCAAAGCCCAAGTGGCGCAGCTTGGGTGAACCCAGTGTTCCTATTGAATATGTTTATAATACAGACAGGTAAGTGAACTTAGGTAAGGTTCCTTGTAAGGTTTCTTGGTGTTTGTTATAGGTATATTCACCAGAACAAGCAGTTTGAGGCAAGAATGCACTGATATTTCCATCCTGTATATATAATTTTAAATTTTTTTATTTTTTCTTTTCTTTTGCGTAGTGGCTTATAACTGATAAATGGCTAATACAATTATATATTATTTAGTCTAAAATCAAATAAAAAATAAAACACTAAAAACTGAAATCAGTCATTTTACATGTTGAATAAAAGTGACTTTGGGCATTACAAAATTATAGTGTACAGTAGGCAACCACATGTGACGACTCCGGGCTGGACTCCGCTTCGTCCATGGTGAAAGCCGATCCGGCGATCCACAGTGTGAAGTTGATGTATTTCCTCAGCGACCAGCACGGATTAGCTCCAGGCATGACGAAGCGGATATCGTCCTCTTTTGGAAGGCCAAACAAAGTAGTTTCGCGTTCACAACGAAAAACAGCGTCTTCACGACATGGCAGCAGCAACGATACTACAGCGAGAATAAAAGTTACGCCTTCTTTCTTTGCATGAACATTTGGGCGGCGTTATGCAAATCTTCCCACATTGTGACGTAGACATGTGGGGGCGTGTTAGAACAAGCCGTTTTAGGTAGGCGTGGCTGACTCTTAACTTTTATAAAGAATATCTCTTTGTATTTGAGACTTTAGTCTTTGCAACTTTACAGATCTTCTTTATGCACCAAGAGCTTATAACACTCCAAAGAGAAAGGAAAAATTGAAATCGCATCATATGACCCTTTAAATTGCTTATATGTAATGTAAAAAACAAGTTATAAAAGATATGGACATCTTTTTGGATTGCCACATTTCTCAAATACATAAATATAAGATTTATGTATTCAAATTGCATATAAAATTTCCATCCATTTAACTAGCTAATAAAATAAATGTGATGCATATTTGTTATACATAAATAAATCACTTCACACTTCACTCTTAAAATCATGGCATAGTTTATTATTAACTATTTGCATCTATTTGATTTTAAGTAACCATATTTTCAAAATGCATTTATTTCAATTGCTTAGAATCAGCATAAATCTGTTCATCATGCAAACATTTACATTTATTCAGTTAAACAGTATGAACATGGTTAAATATGGCTAGCTGTGGAACAAGCAATATTCAGTTAGTTGAAATGTGTGAGACTGAAACAGATTTACTGATGATAAATACATAAACCTGGTTAATGTGTATTTAAATCTTACCTATTTTATTAACTGTTTCATTCATGTATGACTGATAAATATGCATCACATTAAGTTTTGTATTTTTGTTTTTGTTCATGTTAAAAAAAATTTTTTAATCCAAAATAGATACAAAAACAAAACAATAAAAATACATAACTCTTAATTTAGGCTTACATTTTTTTGTACTATTTTGTTTATTTAGAAGTATTATATTTATTATTTTATATATTAGCATATCTGTCTGCGGTTTTTTATTTATTTCTTTTTTTCATTTGAGCTGTTCTTTCAGATTTTTCGTGTAGCTTTTTCTCTTAACTATTGTGGAAAATATGGAAAATGTTTAAAAAAATAAAAAAATCATCCAAAATGTAATAAGTATCTCCCAAGGTGTAATAAGTGAAAATGGCTGCTTATTCTCTGTGTGTTGCTGTGCTCTTAAAACACATAGTCTTCTTCCATGTTGGCTGTGATTGGATTATCTAAGTGAAGTCACAGGGTGGGTGAAAAACACTCCTGAAATATCCCCTCCATAATGAGAAGATTCAATCAGACAGATTTAGGGTGGTGTTGGGACTCCAATGCAGCGCGTCGTGGCCAGTGTTGCAGGATGTATCAGAGCGGATGTGGTCGCATAAAAGGCTCTCTGTTTCTCCAGCATGTGAAAGCTCTCTTTCCAAGAGACTCCTAATGATCATTATTATAGGGTTCATGGCATTCTGATTCATTTATTCCCCTCCTAAATTATGACATGCCCCCTGTGCCCTCAGATCTCAGTTGGTTTTAAAACACGGAGAAAACGAAGCAAGCAGTACCCTTTTGATTAAGATTTAATCCAAGTTCATTTCTATACTTCCCACATTGTGACGTAGACATGTGGGGGCGTGTTAGAACAAGCCGTTTTAGGTAGGCGTGGCTGACTCTTAACTTTTATAAAGAATATCTCTTTGTATTTGAGACTTTAGTCTTTGCAACTTTACAGATCTTCTTTATGCACCAAGAGCTTGTAACACTCCAAAGAGAAAGGAAAAATTTAAATTGCATCATATGACCCCTTCAAGTGAGCATCAGATAAGGGCAATGATAAAGTGAATGTAAAAATTTTAGAAATAAGCATGTACAATAAAATATCAAATATTAACCAATATACACAATCATTCAAAAGTTTGGGGTCAGTACGTTTTTTGTGTGTGTGTGTTTGTGTTTGAAGTCTCTTCTGATCACTAAGCCTGCATTTATTTGATTTAAAAAATACAGTACAACAGTAATATTGTGAGACATTATTACAATGGTAATAATTAAATATTAATTAAACAATTAAAATAACTGTTTTCTATTGTAATAATGTATTCCTGTGATGACAAAGCTGAATTTTCAGCAGCCATTACTGCAGTCTTCAGTGTCACATGATGCTTCAGAAATCATTCTAAAATGCTGATTTGCTGCTTAAGAAACATTTCTAATTATCATCAATGTTGAAAACTGTTGTGCTGCTTCATATCTTCTTACAAACCTTGATACATTATCAGATCTCGAAATGAATATCCATTTTTCATGTTGTACATTATAATGTTGTGATGCAAGGCAAGGCTATTTTATTTCTAGAGTACATTTAAAGAGTACATCTGCTGACCAAAGTGCTGTACAACCTAAAAATTGTTACACAAAACAATTAGTATCAAACAGTTACATAAACATACATATTAAAGAGACTTACAATGATCGAAAAGCCAGAGAGAAGACACCCTAATAACTCATTCCACAATCGAGGGGCAGCAATTGAAAAGGCACAATCTCATTTTAAGCTTAGACGAGACCGAGGCACAGACAACATCAAACTATTAGAAGACCTTAATGGTCTAGGGCAGTTCCGATGGAGAAGAAGATCTGTAATGTATTCAGGAGCCTGACCATTTAATCCCTTGTAGACAAGCAATAAAACCTTACATTTAATGCAATGCCTACAATACATTCACTTGCAGCATTTAAAGCAATCTATAGCATAATGAGATGGTGCAGTTTTGAGTGTACTTTGTGTTGTGTTGTAGGGTGGATGGCTCTGAGCCACTAGGTCTGAGAGGGGTGGGAGAGGGAGCAGAATCAGAGGAACCTGCTGTTTGCAAAGGAGGTAACTGACAATCATCTGAAATGTTTGACAGCTGATAAATATACAAAAAACTCCTCTGAATTCTGTCAAATCCCACATTGATGTGAAGGTTTCAGAACTACATTAATGGAGCTGGAAGAGTTTAATGTGAAAACGCTGTATGACAAGTTAGAGGATCAGAATTTACATCTGGCATCCCAGCTGGCAAAGCACCGTAAAGACACACAGGAGTTTTACAGGAACATGTGCCAGCAAATTGATGTTCTGAGGGTAGGACGGATACTGGAAGTCAACTGAAGATAAGAAATCCATAAAAAAATGGAAATAAAAAAATGACATGATCAGTCTCTGTAACTAATCAGCTTGTGCATCTTTTATTTAGGACACACTAGAAAATATGGAACCCTCAAAACTGAACCAGCTGAAAAAAATACTAGACAATGAAGTTCTGATGAAAAGAGAAACTGCTCATGGTGAGACAGCAGTTTGCTTTAACTTGAGCCTTACATGTGTAGATACACTCAGGTCTGTGAAAGTATTTGTGTTTGCACCAGAGCCGTGGATGGGGCTGATGGAGGCCGTGCTGAGATCTTTGGAGGGAGTGCTGTGCAGGATGAATGGGGAGGTCTGGCAGCAACAGGACAGCACAGCTACAAACAGCCACAGAGACACTCGAGAGAGTGAACTTCACACTGGATGCATTCAGGTTACTTATTTAAACCCATTAAAACAACACAGAGCCATGGATAAGTAATGAATGTACATAGTAGTGATATTAAAAGGATAATTCAGTAAAACATTTAAATTCTGTCATTATTTAGGCATGTTTTAAAATGATTCTTTATGACAAGTTAGAGGATCAGAATTTACATCTGGCATCCCAGCTGGCAAAGCACCGTAAAGACACACAGGAGTTTTACAGGAACATGTGCCAGCAAATTGATGTTCTGAGGGTAGGACGGATACTGGAAGTCAACTGAAGATAAGAAATCCATAAAAAAATGGAAATAAAAAAATGACATGATCAGTCTCTGTAACTAATCAGCTTGTGCATCTTTTATTTAGGACACACTAGAAAATATGGAACCCTCAAAACTGAACCAGCTGAAAAAAATACTAGACAATGAAGTTCTGATGAAAAGAGAAACTGCTCATGGTGAGACAGCAGTTTGCTTTAACTTGAGCCTTACATGTGTATATACACTCAGGTCTGTGAAAGTATTTGTTTTTGCACCAGAGCCGTGGATGGGGCTGATGGAGGCCGTGCTGAGATCTTTGGAGGGAGTGCTGTGCAGGATGAATGGGGAGGTCTGGCAGCAACAGGACAGCACAGCTACAAACAGCCACAGAGACACTCGAGAGAGTGAACTTCACACTGGATGCATTCAGGTTACTTATTTAAACCCATTAAAACAACACAGAGCCATGGATAAGTAATGAATGTACATAGTAGTGATATTAAAAGGATAATTCAGTAAAACATTTAAATTCTGTCATTATTTAGGCATGTTTTAAAATGATTCTTTTATCATTTTATGATCAGATCATATTATATTTTTAATCATAAAAGTGGTCCATTTGGTGTAATGTTTGATGCGCTCTTTTGGACAGTGTTGTTATTGTTAACTAAACCCATTAAAAATGTGTTTTGTTAATTGACATAAATCTGAAATAAAATGTAAATAAAAAATAAAATAAACTGGAGGAAAAATTTGAAATGTTGCCTTACCATCTAACCAAAATAAAAGTTGAAGTAGTAGCAATTACTAAAACTACAATAAAAATAGAGCTAAACTGAAAAATTTTAATAAAAAAGTCATAACAAAATCACTAAAACTAAAATGAAATAAAAGTTTAAAGTGCCCCTACTGTGTCATTTCGAATATTGCCCTTTCATGCAGTGTGTAATATAGCTGTCTGTGAATGTAAACTATCTGCAAAGTTATTCTCTCAAAAAAAAAAAAAAAAAAAGGAATTGACTGAATCCCCCAAACGAGTCGTCAGGAATCTGAATCCCACTTCCGTGATGGCAACACATCACCACATCACTCATTTGCATAATGCCCGCCTATGTTCTACATTGGCCGGCCGTGAACAACTTGACCCGCCCTCAAACACTGTAGCTTCATGTGGTTAACATCATGTCAAGTAGACGCTGTGAAAGTAAATTAGTTTTAATTACTAAAACTACAATAAAAATAGAGCTAAACAGAAAAATTTAAATAAAAAAGTCATAACAAAATCACTAAAACTAAAATGAAATAAAAGTTTAAAGTGCCCCTATTGTGTCATTTCGAATATTGCCCTTTCATGCAGTGTGTAATATAGCTGTCTGTGAATGTAAACTATCTGCAAAGTTATTCTCTCAAAAAAAAAAAAAAAAAAAAGGAATTGACTGAATCCCCCAAACGAGTCGTCAGGAATCTGAATCCCACTTCCGTGATGGCAACACATCACTGAGTATCACATTTGCATAATGCCCGCCTATGTTCTACATTGGCCGGCCGTGAACAACTTGACCCGCCCTCAAACACTGTAGCTTCATGTGGTTAACATCATGTCAAGTAGACGCTGTGAAAGTAAATTAGTTTTATTTTCACTTCAGAATGATGAGGAATTAAATGCATATTATGAGAAAACGAAAGTGTTTTTTGACCTTGCATGCATGTAAACCTATTGTAGGAGCCTCCCAAAACAATATTAGGAACCTTAAAATGTTGTGCGCATGTGCAGTCATAAGCTAGAGTCTCAGGTTTCTAAGGGAACCGGAGCTTCTAACGGCAGCTGCAGTGACGCAATGACTTTAACAATCAGCGAGGGACATATTCCACCATATTGCACGTTGCCGTTTCTCCCATTCATAATAGAGTGAACTGTCTTTGTATATTTATAGTCTTTGATCTAATATGGATGCATATTAGAGTACATAATGACTTATTTTTATTTTTTTGGTGAACTATTCCATTAAGTATTTCATTATTGTTTTACAGTTTTCCCCTGCAGATATGTCAGAGTTTAAAGTGAGTGCAGATACAGAGGCAGCTTCCTCAGACCCAGGTTTGACCTTGTTAAAATCCAGTTTGTAGTCTTTGACCCAAGGCTCCTGCTGTGCTAACAGTACATGCTCTCATCTGTCAGGTCAACAGCAGAGCACCATCCACTGCGTGAGTGAAGAGGAACTGGCCAAGTTTGTGTCTCTGACACCTCTGTCCAAAACACTGCAGGAGATACAGGAATCACTCCAGACTCTCGCCCACACGCCCAAGACAGAGGACGGTCGGTACACATTTGTGCATTTGGATTCAGTGAGCTAAAGTTGCAATGCACTTTTAATGAATTAAGTTGATACAGAACAATTAAAAATACAATATAATGACCTACATCTTCTTTCTTCTCCTTCAGTAATTATCAGCCCAGCAGAGAGTGAACTGTCGCACCTGATCCCTGTTGCCCTTGACAACCTTTCCCCACAGCATTTCGCTGTCTTCCTGTTTGGCTGCCATGTTGTGCGTTTACTGAGCAGAGCTTTTTCCTTCCCCCCTGTCATGCTGCTCTTGGCCAGGACAGTGCCAGTCTCTCACTGTGATAACTTGCTGGCCTACTGCCATAAAGACTTTTATTATGACACAGCCAATCAAATTCTGTACATCCTAGAGAAGAAGCTTCAAAACGCTGGCCAGTTCATCTCCATTCTCTTACACTCAATGGCCTACATAACCTCAGGTAAGAGAGATTGCCCTAGCCTTCCCTAAATAGTTGTTTACTGTAGTCAAAGATGTCTACAACTATTTTCATCATCTAACAAGGCAAGTCACTTAAGGACAAAGTTTGTTTTGAAAGAAGTCTCTTACGCTCACATGGCTGCTTTTATTTGATCAAAAATACAGTAAAACTGTTATATTAATATTATTACAATTTAAAACAACCGTTTTCTATTTTAATTATTTTAGAATGTAAGCTAATCATATCTATTATATATAGCTGAATTTATTTGAAATAGATTTTATTTTACAAAGTAAAAGTCTTTACTGTGACTTTTCATCAATTTAATTTATCCTTGCTGACTGAAAGTATTAGTTTATTAAAAAAATCTTACTGACCCCAAACTTTTAAACAGTAGTGTACAATACATAAAAGGTACTAGACAAAATAAGACAATTAAAATATAAATATTTTAATTGTCAGCCAAATTAAAAGCAAAACAACCGTAAGCATTTTTCTTTTGGCATTTCCTTCTTTTATAGGCTCAGAATCTCTTGAATTCATAAAAGCCTTCCACTTGGCTGTATCGGCATTAAGCATGCAGTTGTTTCATCACTCTTTCACTGAGGACCAGAGGAAAGGAAAGGTAAGGGACTGTTTATATATATATATACTCTATATGAAATCCAGGAAGAGCTAAAACAGGCTTTCGCTCACATGTTAGATGATTGAGGAAAACACACAGAAGGCCTTTGGAACATTAGTAGAGGACTTCTTCACTGTAAAAATACCCACTGAAACCCATTTCGCTGAGCACCTGCTGGCAGAGAGGTTAGTATCTAATCTAAGATGTTTTTGACATTAAAAATATATTAAAACATTCACTTCAATGGATTTTAGACTTCAAGTATATAAATACTTCAAGTTGGAACAGCTTCTCCAGGAACTAAAACCAACCCTGAAAGACAGACATGGAGATGGTAAGAGATTTTAGAGCAGTTTTTAACGGAAAACATTCTTAGCCTAGCAGGCACTTGAGCACTGGTACAATTTTTTGGGTCTTTTGTGTATATTGTTGCAGGACGAGGGCAAACTGGCCTAAAGACTCAAGTCCCAGTGAGTGAAAGCACTTTTTGTGTTGTGTTTTATTTATTCTGAGGAGTGTACGCCTATGGAAATATATCCTCTTTTTCATCTACCTGTGCTTCAGGTGCTGTGTGTGGAAAGAGAAATAAACAGACTTGATGAAGTTTACCAGCAGCTCTCCTCTGAACTCCTCAGGGCAACACACATACGCAGCCCACCGGAGAAGAAAGAGTCCAGGTTTGACAAACCGCTTCAGGTAACAGCCAATCTGACTCACCTTATGCTGGTGTACAGGAGACCCCTATACAGCCCCCACGATATTTGCGGAAGGGCCAAATGCATTTAAATTGTAAAATTTATTTCTCATTCTTTCTGTCTTTGTCTCTCACGCTCCCCATGCTTGCAGGAGCAGCAGATGATGCTGGAGCTGCAGAAGTGCACGGTGGATCAGAGACTGAAGGAGATGAGAGACAGACTTTCTAAACTGAGCTCAAGCCAGCGAGCGAGTCCTAATGAAGACAGACCAGCTCACGGCACAGTCCTGGCTCAGGAAGATAGCCAGACACCCAGTAAACGCAAACCAGACAGCGGAGGACCAGAGAAACAGACACCTGCTGCAGGACAGTCCAGCAACAAGAAAAAGCAAAGCAAGCATATGGACAAAGATGAGGAAAAGGGTGTGACTGCGTGAGGAATAATGTTTGAAAACAGTGATTATTATTAAAATACAAAAATGTCCCCCCGCTTGTCACGTGTAGATTTTATGGCTATTTGTGACAAAAATTGACATGGAGGAGATGGCTGTAACATTTAACACCTCTGGTTTGGAAGCAGTGTTATGCTAAACAACTTAGCAAATGTAGTCATAACCTTAAAACTGTGAATCTTTATTTTATTCTTTATACCTGTCAGACTCAGTGTACTGCTGCTGAAGTAGATGCAGTGTTTGCAAGGCCCTCATACAGAATAATACTCTCACTTTCAGACTTTGTTTTGTAGATGTTTAGATTTTTTCCCTAAATGTGCCATTCATTTTTAATGCTCATGAACTTTATGCCTTTGAGAAAAGTAGCATTTAAAGTTTTAAAATCCTCTACTGACACTGATGTAATATCATTTTCATTTTTGACTAATAATAATAATAATATATTAATTGATTAATTAACTATTATTATTATTATCACTACATCTAATATAAATAACAGCTACAACAATAGATAAACAACAAAATCATAATAATATGATGATGACTACTATTATCATTGTTAAAAACAACAACAACAACAACTATTATTATTATTGTTGGTGTTGTTGTAGTGACAACAATAATAATGGTCATTGTTATTACTGTTGTTGTTGTTGTTATGTTATCATTATCCTTGCAACTAATATAAATAACAGCAACAACAATGCCCATTATTTTTGTTCTTTTTAATAAAAATAATACTAATTATTATTATTGTAGTCACTGGGAAACATTCTGAGATGATCTAGTCACTCTGTTGAGCTTGAACTTATCTTTGTTTGAGCTCAAATTGACCGCTAGTGAAATTGTGTCTAGTAAGTAGTAGTATTTGTGTATATCAGTCTGTTTGAGTTTACTTATTAGTATAACCAAAACTTTTGCGGCTTAGCAAGCACTGTATTTCCGTCAGGAAATGCAAATGTAGTTGCTTTGGCTTTGCTCTTGTTCTGAATGTTTGTTTAATATACATTATTTATGAGCAGGTTGTCATGCTGTATTTCTGGAGGAGATATGATCATGCCTATTTCTGTCCTGGCTTCTCTTCTGTGGGGCATCAACACAAGATATGTGAATATATATGTATATGGCTCAGAGGTGGTCTTATTCAAATAACTAGCTATCTACATAGAAACCGGCTGCAAACTGAAACAGCTCGCTGGATGACACAGTTTCAGACTCAGACAGCCCATAACGAACTGGCTGCGTGTTTTCTTTTCTTTTCTGCTAAACTGGCAGACATGCCAGAAACCCAACTAAATGCAAAAAAAAGCCAAATTATTTAATTCGATGTCCCCTTTAAGACTGTAAAATTCCGACATTTGCTTATTTGATTGGTGACCTAAAATTTATTTATTCTTCATTTTATGACATACCATTTTGTGTTTTCAATTAATAAATATCCTAAAACTGTTTTTTTTTTTCAGCTTTAAATTTGGAACCCCAGATTTTGAATGAAATCTCAAACGTTTGGACTATAAGTTTAGAGAACACTTTCATTTTATTATTTCTTATTATATTATATTATATTAAAAAAAAGAGATGAGCATTTATTTATTCATACAAATATTAATGGACTGAAACTAATAAACAGACTCGCATGGTTTCATCCTCCACTGCTGGATGAAAGCATTACACTGGCCTGCTCTCTCTACACAGTCATTTTGCGTTGCTGTTGCCATGGTTTCCCTGCATCGTGGGTATAGCAACCAGCAAGCCTGCCATATTTAGTCTGTGCTGAGACCAAGCCTGCTGGCAACATCTCCCTCGATAAGCACTTCTGCTATTGAATTACAGCTCTTGTAAATGTTTCATTGAGAGTCGGAACAGAAAGCATTGGAAAGCATCTGGCACGACTGCACTAGTGGAAACAAGTGGTTGTGCTGTGTAGAAATAATTTCTAGGTCTGTGAGCCATGTGTTCTTCTCTTCCTGTGAGGTCGGCATAATAAAGCAGCCATAATCCCAATGATGAAATCTGTAATCCTTAACTCTGAGCTTCACTGGGTTACCATTACTACTTTAGCAAGATTAAATCGTTGACTTTCTCATTGTAAGATTAGACACAAATCTTACATTTATGTTAGCATCCAAACATGGATCTAATCCCAACAAATTATCCCTCCCAACGGTACCATACGGAAGAGGAATCCATTTTATCTGTATAGAAAAGCAAGATGGGTGTAAATGTACACTGTTGCATATGGCTAAGCCATTGGGTGCATAAACATATAGCATTTGCATATGCATTTCAAACCGAATGGGTTACTGGAGTGTTGGAAAAATGTTTACCCCAATTCTCAGATGTTTTCCATTACGTGTTTGTCCTTATGTGCACTATTTACATATGCTGCTAGTCATGTGACTAAAAGCATTTGAACTTAAAGGAATAGTTCACTTGAAAATTAAAATTTGCAGAAAATGTACTCTCTCGGGCCATCCAAGATGTAGATGAGTTTGTTTCTTCATCAGAACAGGTTTGGAGAAATTTAGCATTACATCACTTCCTCGCCAATGAATCCTGAGCAGTGAATGGTTTGTCCATATGGGAGTCCATAATCCATAATAATACTTACTCCAGTGGAAAAAGTCCATCCCCTGTTGTTCTCTCACATCAAAATCAACTTACATATTTGTGTAGAACCGTTTTAGACTATTTTTGCTTGAATCTTTATCTGTGCATATTTCTCTCATGATTTTGACAAGATTACTTTTTTACTAAGCAATATTATGTATACTCATAATAGAAATGTCTAAATGATGGATTTGTTTCTTACAAACACGCAACATCAACATTTATTTTGATGTTTTTATCAGTTGTTTGGACACTCACTCTGAAGGCACCCATTCAATGCAGAGGATGCACTGGTGAGCAAGTGATGTAATGCTAACAAACTCATCTACATCCTGGATGGCCTGAGGGTGAGTACATTTTCAGCAAATTTTAGTTTTTTTGTCAAACTATTCCTTGTACAGCCATGCAATCTACAAGTTTTGTGCTGTAATTTTGTGATCTTATTTGAACATATGCCACTTTTTTTTGTTGTTGTTGTTGCTCAAAATGTTTTTTTTGCATTTTGCATTTGTCAGTTACTTCAGCAGTCATCATCCATGTGGTGACTGCAAACTGGAAATGTTAGATTTGGTGTGACTCATGTAATAATTGCAGTAATTGCGATGAAGCTGCTTCCCCGACCACGCATAGGTTAAGTAGGACCAGCATGTGGGTTTAAATTATGAAATGCTGTTCTCGAGCAGAGACAATTGAAGCCTACAGATGCACACAGCTCATGATGTACTGTTCTCGCTGGGGTTGATGGATGTTGTTTATGAGGGAAGAAGAGACAAGAACTGGTGACTGAAGGATGGATGCTAGTGTACAACTCAGTGATCTGTGTTAAAGTTGTGGGCTCTAACGAAACTTCGGGTTCATATCTGTCTCCTTCTGTTGTGTAAGTTGCCAGGACATGAGGATTCCACTGCCAGCTATAAACAAATCACTTATTAGGCATCGGCCTTGAATAGAACTATTCAGTACAGGGGAGATTGGGCTAATCACACTTTTTAGATCAGTTAATACTTTTTAAGGTGGGTTCATTCTTGAAGGTCAATTTTTGTGTAGACGCAAAGTATTGACTACAATACTTAACATTTCCACTGACACTGTCCAGAATTTTTTTTTACAGTTCATTGAAAAATATAAATAATATATATTAAAAATAGCTGGGGAATGTTGTCATACTGTAAGTTGTCACAATGAAACCTGCCATTAAACATCCTATAATATGCTTTGCAGCAACACCCCCCCCCTTTCAGCAGAAAAACAATTATCGATTTACATTGAGTAAAATTGTAATATAAATATAAACATTTTAAACACGTGGCAATTTCAACCTAACGTTGATGAAGCACATCCTTAAAATATCAGCTTTTTGTCAATGTTTTAATTCACAATGATTCTTTTTTGTTGTTTTAAGGCTCTTCACTTATTCAGTGAAGAAATTCACTTCTAAGCAACCTTTGTAGAAGTCAGGTTGAAAGTAGACCAAGCGGCGCATGCGCACTGAGCATGTCTATCATGAGTAAGTGGTTATTTAGTAAGAAAACAAAGGCAGGCGTCTATGGCAAGCCGTTTTGACTTTTATTCATTCTCAGGATATGAATTCTTGATATCAACAATTCAATTTTCACTAGTTAAAATGTTAATTCTTGATATCAGGAATTGGATTTCTACTAGTAACAATGGCTATTTTTGATATCAGCAATTACATTTCAACTAGTAAAAACTATCATTCTTGATATCTGTAATTGTATTTTCACTAGTTAAATGTCACCATCGGCTGCCATTCAAAATCATGTGTTGATATCAATATTTAATTTCTTACTAGTTGAAATTCCAATTTCACATATCAGAAATACAATTCTTACTAGTAAAAAAATGTGAATTCTTGATATCAAGTGACAATGTTAATTTCTGATATCTGAAAATGTATTTCTGATATCAACAATTGGGAGGGTAATTTCTGATATCTAAAATGGCTTTCTTACTAGTAACAATCACATTCATGATATCAGAAATGAACATTGTCACTAGTGACAATTAAATTGTTGATATCAAGAATAGACGTCTGTACTAGTAACCATGTGATTACTGATATCAAAAACAAAGGTTTTTACTAGTAAGAATTGTATTTCTGATATGTGAAATTGGAATTTCAACTAGTAAGAAATTAATTCTTGATATCAACACTTGATTTTGAATGGCAGCCTATGGTGACATTTAACTAGTGAAAATACACTTACAGATATCAATAATTTTAGTTTTTACTAGTTGAAATGTAATTCCTGATATCAATAATTAACATTGTTACTAGTGGAAATGTAATTGCTGATATCAAAAATAGCCATTGTTACTAGTATAAATCCAGTTCCTGATATCAAGAATTAACATTTTAACTAGTGAAAATTGAATAGTTGATATCAAGAATTCATATCCTGAGAATGAATAAACGTCAAAACGGCTTGCCATACAGCTGCGGAGGTTTGACGATGGAGCATCTGTACTGCTTATGTGGATGCAAAAGGAAACAGTAATCCTTCTCTGTCACTGACATCTTCTGAAACAGCTCGTTGTGGAGGCGCTGGATTTCTTCATTCCGCGCGAATTTTTACTACAGGAATCATTAAGATCCACAGGTCTTCAGATTCATGAGCATCGACATGGAACTGCAGCGTCCACTTCTAGTTTAAGACGTTTACGGATGTTTGTATCTCGGTAAGAAAGCTCAAACTTTCTCTTGAGAAACACGACAAGGTTCATTCCGTCCCGTGGACCTGCATGAAACGTCAGCTCCAAGTTGTTTCATAAAAGTAGAAAATGTAAGAAATTAACAATTGCGCGCGATTGGGCGTTGTCCGTGGTGCTGAACTCGTATTCTATATGAGTTCATATATATACTGTATATACAGTATATATGTGTGTGTGTGTGTGTGTGTGTATATATATATATATATATATATATATATATATATATATATATATATATATATATATATATATATAACATTTTAACCTCTTCAAAGTCAAGTCAGTGTCGGTTTTTCTTTTTTCTCTTAAGTACTTACACAGCAGGAACACTCTATGTGAGACGCTGCCCTGTTGTTAGATCTCCCAGCATGGCAACTCACACGAGGCTTGTGTTGCATTTGCTATTGCTGTTCATATTTGCTGGTAAGTATTTTGAAGTTTTAATCGTATAATTTGAATAATAAATAATGAGAATTTTTGTACAAGACCCCATTTTGTCATTTACAAAGTAAAGAAAGAAAATGCTAGAGAAATAATAGTAATATTAAGAGGGGGTTATGCAAAATCTTGTCTTCATTTTTCAGAAATGCAATTGCATTTAAATGTGTTAAACTGTAAAAGTTTTTTGTAATTTAAAAGGATTTCTAAATAATTAGTGGTTGTGATATATGCAGTACAGGATATCAGCATATCCAAACTTAAATAATATGTATTAATTATTTTATTAATTAATTTATTTATTATTATTATTTTGCATTTTTGCAAGTATTATATTTGTAGGGACCCCACGTTTACAAATTTTCTTTCTCAGAATTATTTTCACTAACTCCCTCCCACAGCTTCTTAAATGTCTGTATATCCATAAACCAGTTAATTATACATCAGAACATTAGTACAGAGAGTGTTTGATGTATGTGAGGTACTTCTTTGTGAGTCACAAATTCACATCTCTTAAAAAATACAGTCCCAGACAGAGATGGCATTGATTCAGCTCTAAACAGTACCATACGTGTCAATGACTCACGCTGCTTCTCCTCACAGATTGTGGCAGTCTGGTGCCATCAGAACATTAAGATATTTAAAATAGAATTTAATCTACCTTTAAGTTTGCATTCTGTGACTAGTAGTGTCACAACTGTCATTATTATACATTGTCTGTGTTTGTGGGATGAACAGCTACATTTGGCATTTCCATTGGCCCATATGACCCTTCAAACAGAAAAGGCGCGATCAGTGTTGGCAGCTTTTGTTTGAGGCTGTGAGTTATGTAAGATGGCCTCCATTTCAACAATGGCAGAGAGGTTATGTTCACAGTCAAGCGAACGCTCCAGAACAATCTTCACATGACTGAGGCCTCGGCCTGGCCCCTGCTCAATGGGTTGTTCTGTGCTGCCAATACTGAACATGTGTCTGCAGAAATCAGTGTGCTATAAGGTATGATTTTGTCTGAGCAGGAGTCGGGTGTGCTGTGAGCTCTTTCTGGAATTGGAGCTTGTAATGGATAATGATCTCTCTCTGTCTCTGTCTCTCTTTCTCATTCTCTGGTGCTCCCTTGAGAAATCTCTGCCTTAGATTTAATTGACCTCCATAAAGTATATGCAGATTGAAGCTACTTTTTTGGGAAGGTGTTAACTTTTCACTCCAAAGGGCATGATGTATGTCCTACATGTTGATGAAAGGTGCAGAGACAGATAAATAAATGGATAGATAGACAGACAGACAGGCAGGCAGGCAGGCAGGCAGGCAGGCAGGCAGGCAGGCAGGCAGGCAGGCAGGCAGGCAGGCAGGCAGGCAGGCAGGCAGGCAGGCAGGCAGGCAGGCAGGCAGGCAGGCAGGCAGGCAGGCAGGCAGGCAGGCAGGCAGGCAGGCAGGCAGACAGACAGACAGACAGACAGACAGACAGACAGACAGACAGACAGATAGATTTATACAGTGTGTGTGTGTGTGTGTGTGTGTGTGTGTGTAGTAATACGCTGTGTGTTTTCTGCAGTGCAGGAGGTCAGGCTGGTGTGTGTGGACGTGGCATCAGACACAGAGGCCGTCGTAGGCCGTGTTATGAAGTTAACCTGCATCTACTGCATGAAACGAGAGGAGATCTCTGCCGAGACCAAAGTGGACTGGTTCTTCACTGGAGAAGATAAAAGAAAAGTGCTTGTGAGATCACCTCTTAGCTTTTTTTGCACATATCGTATTTAAAAAATGATCATATCTGACACATAATCATCTCCCCTATACAGATCTATCAGTATGATCGTGAGCCACAGATGCCAAAGGATGTAGAAATGTACTGGAAGGGCCGTCTGACATGGAAGGGCAGCCAGGACCTGCAGGACATCTCCATTAGCATCCTAAACGTTACTCTTAATGACTCTGGCATGTACGAATGTAAGGTGTCACGCTTCTTTGAGTTCAATTCATTCAAGCATTCCACCACCAAGAACACAACAATCGATCTTAAGGTAAAAATGAAAGGTAAGTGAGAGAACACACCGCTAGACCTTTCTCACTCTGGACATTCAGTACCTCGTCCAGCCATATTCGATCTGATTACCTGATCTCTGCAGTGTGATTTGGATGGTTGTGCAGCAGGCCATTTCCAAACATGCTGTAACCCGAAAAACCAGATATTATTGACCTCCGCACAGTGTCCTTCCTTCCTTCAGTGTAGTTGAACTGTATCCTGATGTGTTGTGTTCTTCTAGTAATCCTGTGCTCTGTTCTGTTTTTATTGTTATTTAAGCCTACTTATTGGAAGGCAGGAAGTTGTTTTCAGGGCTTTATCTAAGCAACCACTTACCTCTCTATCTGTTGTAAGGGGTAATGTAAAGATTCTGGTTTGTATGCTATTCTCTGGATGCCTGAGATTGCTGAATGCAGAGTACTTCCTCACTTCAATCGAATATACTTTACCTAATGTATATTTGTCTATATTTACTCATGCAACCACAATGCATCATCTCTATCTGCGACTGTCTTGGTTCACAGATAGAAATAGACAATGTTGTATTTAAGTGGTGGCTTTAGAGGATTTTTTGAAGATTGCAAGCAGCCTTCCAGATCCACAAACTTACAGTACAACTCTGCTTTTACATTCCATGCCATTTTCGATCTATTCACTGCAGTGCATGAAACATAAATACTCTTTATAATACAGGTCCTTTTTGACAACTGTACGAGATTTTGCAGAATTGTACAAACTTGTTTTTTCTATAATATGTCACATGTTCTGCACTATCATTGATGTATACAGTCTTACAGTCTGTCATATAACCTTTGAGTCTCATTGTCCTCCAAGGGAAAGCTAAAATGAAGTACAGTACCTGAGCATGTTTGTTTCATTGTGTGGTTTTGTGTTTGCATGCAAATGATTTGCTATAATGTGTCTTCTAAGGGACAGACAGAAAAAAATATTTATCCATTTCTGCCTAATGAACACCTAATAGAATTTTAAAGTGATAGTTCAAACAAAAATAAAAATGTAGTCATAATTTACTCACTCTCATGTCTTTCCAAACATGTATGAATTTCTTTCTTTTGCAAAACACAAAAGAAGATATTTTGATGAATGTTGCTAACCAAACATTTTTGGTTCCCATTTACTTCCATTGCATGGATACAACTGAAGGAAATGGGAAACTAAACTGTTTGGTTACCAAAACGTATTTATTTATTATAATTTTTTTATGTTCTAAAAAAGAAAGTCATACAGATTTGGAAAGACATGAGGGTGAGTAAATGATGACTGAATTTTCATTCTTGGGCAAACTATCCCTTTAAATGAAAATCAACTTAAATACAATTAATTGCAATTTCAATAATTATTTATGTGAATTCTTGCCAGCTGTTGATTCATGCTGATTCTCTACAGATCATCTATGCATGCTGTTTTTGTTCATATAACAATAAAAAAAGGAAAAAATAAAAAATCCTCAGAAAAAAGTGGTTAAAATTGTTATATGAAGCCACTCACTCACAAATGTAAAACCTGGATGCAAAGCATGATATCTCTGAGGTGACTTAGTTGCACTTGGTTATAGTTCCTGATGACCTGAAATAGATTTAATAACTCTCCTAGTGCATTACAGCAGTGCAGCTATATTTTGACTTGCCCACTCATGCATTTTGCACTTTTGTCCTCATTTTCAGTACACTTGAGACTTTCTGAGTCACTTTCTGGATGAATTTATCTCAAACATCCTTAGTGGCAGAGTATATCAGTCTGACAGGCCTCCTCTGATTGCTCAGTTAATTCCGTCTGATTGCATATTTTCATTTTCTCAGCAAGTCGAGACACCACGGCGCTATACTCCGAGATCATGATGTATGTGCTGCTGGTGTTCCTCACATTCTGGTTGCTGGTGGAGATGATCTACTGCTACAGGAAGATCTCCAAATCCGAGGAACAGGTGCAGGACACTGCGTGAGTATTAAATTATCATGTGTCTTCGGTTACAGTCTTACTTTCTCAAGTTTAAGTGGTCCATTTAAAGGAATAGTTGACCCCAAAATAAAAATTTGCTAAAAATGTACTCACTCTCAAGCCATAGAAGGCATACACGAGTTTGTTTCTTCATCAGAACAGATTTGGAGAAATTTAGCATTACATCACTTGCTCACCAATGGATCGGTGCTTGATCTGTGCATATTTCTCTCCTGATTCAGAAGAAAGACGACTTTTTCACTGGAGAAAGCAATATTATGGATAGAAGATGATAGATTTTAGATCGAAATGATGGTTTAAAGTTAAAACATCTTGATGGATTTGTTTCTCACAAACACAGCTTTTCACATCACAAGATGTTAATTGATGGACTGAAGTCGTGCGGATTACTTGTGTAATATTGTGATGTTTCTTTAAACTCTCACTCTGATGGCACCCATTCACTGCGGATAAGGTAATGTTAAATTTCTCCAAATCTGTTCTGATGAAGAAACAAACTAGTGAACTATTCCTACGTCCATCAAATGGATTTTACTTATCTATATTTATTTTGATATTCAATGCACTTCAAGCATAATGAAAGTAGGCATATGTACTGCCCTTTTTGACAGGTAAAACATATTCTTACTCTGAAATGACATTCAGTCATTATCGGCTAACTTGAAGTTTCAGTCATTAGTAATGAATTTAACACTGTATTCTGGAGACTATTGAGTTGTTTGGAAGCATGATAGACTACCATGACACACTAACACAGGCATACGCACACTCATATATGGGTAATGTGTGCGTAAGTGCTTTAAAAGCCTGCATTAGTGGGACCCAATCACATCAGTCATGCAGAGCATATGGAAAATAAAGTGGTGGCCGTCAGATTCCAAACTGATCTCTTACTGTCATTTGACACAGCATTGGGCCATTTAACCCTTTCTTTTTTCTACTCTCTCTTTACCATAGTTTACTTTGTTGTCAGTCATTTCTTGTTGATTTGTTTGTCAGTCATATGAATATATGATTATATTGCTGTCCTCACTCTGCCAGCAAAAGAAGACATGGAGATCCTCAAACTTAAGCACCATTGAATATTTAATCACTGAGTAATATAGCATTAGAGTCACTGAGTATTATAGCAATAAGTCAGCCAAAAAAAATTATTGTCATTGTTTACTCATGACCATCATGACATTCCAGACCTGTATGGTGTCAAATTTTTTTTTTGTAAAAATCATTACACAGCTTGACATACAATGGCCACATAGTGACTATTAGTCATACATTTGGACTTAAATTATAGTTTTTGCTGTTGTTTTTTATTGTTAAGGGTCTATTTGCATATTTTTGAGCCCTTGGTCACTATGAACTGTTGTTATATGGCACACTGAAAAAAGAATGACATTATGATGAGTAATACACACACGCACGCACACACGCACACACACACACACACACAGGTTTGTTTTTATGGTTTATGGAGACTCTCCATAGGCGTAATGGTTTTTATACTGTACAAACCGTATTTGTGCATTTTTAGCACTAACCCTACACCTAAACCTACCCCTCACAGGAAACTTTGTGCATTTTTAGATTTTCAAAAAAACTCATTCTGAATTATTTATAAGCCTTTTGAATTATGGGGACACTGAAAATGACCTTATAAATCACCTTCTCGTTGTAATACCTATGTCATACCCATGTTATTATACAAATGTGTGTCCTCATAAACCACATAAACATGCACACACACACACACACACACACACACATCAGTCTTTCTCTTTTGTACCCTTGTATCTACAGGACAGACTACTTAGCCATTCCCTCTGAAAATAAAGAAAACCCCGGCCCTGCTGTAACGGAATAAAAGTCTCACACCATTACGGTATTTTTGAATTTACCTCTCAGTTAGAAACATCATCAACAATTTTCCGCTCATCCCGAGTAGCTGACTAGAACCCTTCCACCATCGCTGTCTGTTCCTCTCATTTCTTGTCCACATCCTCTCTTAACATCACCGGATCTTCATTCCCATCCACTCAAACACATGCCACTCCTCTGTTCATTGCCATATCTGTCCAGCAATTACTAACCTCAGCTGATCTCTCAAGATAATTCATTAGTAGAGCAGCGATAATGCTGAGGTCAGGGTTTGTTCTCTTTGTAAACTCCTTGATCGATGATTTTACATTGTTTAAAGTGATTTGAAATGTGAGAATGCATATATAGATGTGATATGACAGGGATCCATTTATTCTTAATTACCTTGCTTGTTTTTTTTTTATTATTATTATTTTATTTCTATGCAGCTTCCTGCAGTGTCATCTGATATGTTTTACCAGAACTCGAGTGATTTGTAATTTGAGGAGGACTTTTTGTTGTTGGTGGGGGTTATGTAACTTCTGATGGAAAATAGTGTGGAATGTTTTAGAAACATGATTTGATTTGTGGAAGTGCAGATATTTATTAATGGAACACAACTGCATTTCTAAAAACATGTTCTACTACTAATTTAATTTTAATATTAATTGTAATGTATAACAATTTCATAATTATATATATACAGTATATATATATAAAATCAAATAAGTTATCCACATTATTAACTTTCCACATTATTTAATAACATGGAACACAGCTGCAATTCTAAACATTTTATGTTTTTATTTCAATGTTTTATTTTCATAATAATATTCATTTTATGTGTATTAATTTAGCATATTTCTTATAATTAGATGTATGTATAATTGTATATATATATATATGTATATATATATATATATATATATATATATATATATAATATATATATATATATTAATAAAATATATCTAAGATAGCCAAATCTGGACACTGCTTTCTGTTTCAGGTACTGACGATTCTTAATAGCAACCGGTTTAAAATGGAGAAACCAGGAAACCTGCCAAATCAAATCCCTCTTGTCTTGATAATGTGATATGTGGAAGAAACTCTCAACTGGTTCATTATCTCCCACTGTCTCGATGGAGGTCAGCAGTAACACACATCTAATCTCAGACTGAGGATCTCTATGTGTCTGTCCTCAACTTTTGCCTTAGTAAAGACACAAATACAACAGCCTGGAGCTGAAGAGCTATCATACTGCCTATACACGCACTTTTCTTAACCAAATGCCAATCATTACTGTCACAATGCCCATGTGAGCCTTTCCCTCTTTGGTATACGCTGTTCTTACTCTTTTGATAGAAATAGATGAAGATAAGTCTGGATTCCAATTAGACTTAGTTTTTATCCTCATATTTTCTATAAAAAGGAATCCCATTATAGTATTTTGGGTTTTTATTGCTTTTTATTTTAAAAGAAACTTTCAAGTCACTCAGCTTTGCCACTTTGCAATCAATAATCAGTGAAACTGAGGTAAACAGCTGTAATACTGCATACAGAAGCGTGATCGAACACATGTTGTCATTTGTGTTTACATTGGTAATTGCAGTCAGTTTGTGTTCTGAATGATCTTGCAGCATTAAAGCCAGTTCTTGGGATTAATACTAGCACTAGACTGAATTGCATACACTATTCCAAAAATGGCAGTTTGTACTACCACATTGCAACCTGTTGTTATTGTTCAGTGATGTTTAGCAGCAGCCGTGAGATCTGTATACCTTAAACCTTTGCTTTATGATTCTACACACTCATTTCAGATTGACGGTGAATAGTTGGTTGGAAGTAGTAACACAATTTCTTCAGCTGTTAAAATAACACTGGATTTTGTGTTTGTACTACCTTTTTTCACTGTTGGTGTTATGAATTTATAGATTTGGATTTTGTCCCTTTTTTTTTGTAATTTCCATTGGTGCCGGCTTGTCTCTGTTAACTTTTGCATTGTTTAATATAGGACATGGTTGCAACCGCAGAAACACTACGCTTGCTCTGCCCTGTTATAATGGAGCTGCTCAAAGCTTGTCATGTATATTAAACCAGGTGATGCATTCCAAAAAATGTCTAACTGCTTATTATTACTTTATATATATATATATATATATGTTTCCTAAAGAAATTTAGCTGGTATGCATGATCACATAGACTGAACAAATATTCTAGTTACATAATGAATATGTAATTCTGTTAATGAACAAAGAGGGCGTGCTGTATTGTCAACAACCGTCTTTGTCTCCCTCTGTAGTTCATACAGTGTAAATGCAGTTGACTCATGTAGACGTTTTTCATGGGTAATAATTAACCTTTTGGGATCTCCTTTTTGTTTTGGTGTACCCGATTTGGGAATTTAAAACTCACATTACTTTCAGTTTATTCACATTTAATTAATAGTTTAGAACAGTTAAGATAAAAGCAACTTCTTGTCATGCATGACCGATACAGACCTCATTGTTAACATACTGTGGCCCCAAGAAGTGGGCTATTTTATATTTATTTCTCTCAGAATTAAAATTTTCTAGCCATTTTTCAACCAACTGACATGACCTTGATGTGAATGTAAATCTCATTAACTAAGAATGTGTTCTCCTGTTAAAAAATTACTTAAATTGTATTGCAATTTAAATGTTGTTACATTTTGCACAACACAGACAGTAACACCACAGACAAATCTAGACTTTCATAAAGTAGGGACTGCCATCATGATAGTTCAAGATGCAACACATTGTTTTTTGTTACACATGAAATTTCTCTTAACCAAATGAAGGTTAACTCAATGAACCCTCTGGTTCTCTTCGGTCATTATTTGACTAAAAATATCATAAAAATAACATAGCAACCTCAAATTTGGAACACAACTTGTTTAGATTTATGGCTTTGATTTTCCTCACAGATTTAGAGAAACATTTTGGAAAATATAAATTTCATATAAAATTTTAACATTTCACAACAATGAACCTAAACTTCTATAACTTTTTATAATTTCACTTTTTTTCTTTTATGCAATTGTGTTCCATTAGTAATCTGCCAAGTGTCTTCTATAAAAAGAGAATTCAATTCGATTAAAAAATAAATTTTTGTTAAAATATATATATATATATTTTTTTTTTTTATTTTAGTACATCAAGCTAAAATAAATAAGAAATGTTTTCATTGGCAACTAGCTAAAATAAAATAACTTTTAAGATTTTATATATATTATTTCAGTTAACATTTCATTTCAAGTAATGAAAATGTTTTATATGGTTTTAGTTAACTATAATAACCCTGTGTTGACATACTCATGGGCATTTTATAAACTCATATCAAAAGTAGGCTACCACAAAAAACATTGTGGGTAATCGACTTCTCTCACGATGATCTGTAGTGTTAACCTTTGAGTCTCATTGTCCTCCAAGGGAAAGCTAAAATGAAGTACAGTCCCTGAGCATGTTTGTTTCATTGTGTGGTTTTGTGTTTGCATGCAAATTATTTGCTATAATGTGTCTTCTAAGGGACAGACAGAAAAAAATATTCATCCGTTTCTGCCTAATGAACACACCCCACACTCTCAGGGAAAAAACATCCAGACTCATATATAATAGACTCATTCCATACATACAATGAAAGACCAAGTCCTGTCATATGTTTTGGCCTCGGGGCTGACATTTGTAAAGTGGTCCCTATAAAAAACATCTGAAAACTAAGGTGCGGGTGTCTCTTACCTCGCTCAGCGTTGTACATTTGATCCTGCCTGTGTTAACATCCTTTGATGTGTCCTTCTGGGGCTCCTTATGACAATATGTGCAGGAGAGTTGCTTCTCAGTGTGCTCCTCTTAAATTAAAAAGGACTGTTTGTTTTGTCTGGTAATTGCCTCTCAAAGTTCAGAGATTTGGGACAGAAGAAAGGCAAATAGAGTCCCGCTGATTAAAGTGCTCTCAGAACATTCCTTACAAAGCGTGAGTCCCTACTAGGGTTGCCAACTTCAGAAAAGGAAAATAAGGGACAATCGTGGTTTTTCATAGAAAAATAAGGGACATAATAAGGGATACACACACAAGCCTATTTTATACACACACACACACACACACACACACACACACGCAGGTATATCTTTTAGATTTGTAATGTTTTTATATGGAGTCTCTTATGCTCATCAATGCTGTATTTATTTGATAAAAAAATACAGAAAAAAATGTAATATTGTTAAATATTATTGCAATTTCTAATATTGGTTTCCTATCTTAATTAATATACTTTAAAATATAATTTATTTCTGTGACGCAGCACTGTATTTTCAGCATCATTACTCCAGTCCTCAGTGTCACATGATCCTTTTATAAATCATTCTTATTCTGATTTATTATCAGTGTTGAAACTGTTGTGCTGCTTAATATTTTTTTGGAACCTTTGTTCCATAAATAAAATAAAAAAGTTCAAAAGAACAGAATTTATTCCAAATATAATTTTTTTCTAACAATATCACTTTTTATCCATTTAACACATCCTTGCTGAATAAAAGTATTCTAAAAGTTTCTTTTAAAAAAGAAGAAAAAAAGAAGAAGAAGAAGAAAAAATAAATTTACTGACCCCAAACTTTTTTTTTTTTTAGTTAACAAAATATTTTGTATATTTAACAAAATTTTTATTTTTAATAAATACTGTTCTTTTTAACCTTTTATTTATCAAAGAATCCTGAAAA